CGGCCTTTCATAAGACCACTAAAACCTGGCTGTTCCGGCAGGCCTGGGGCTGTTGACCCCAAAAAATGGTCCAGCCCCATTTGGAATAGAGTGCATGGTGTGTTTTTAAGTCTATCTTTTCTTTTTTTCTATGCCTTTTGATTTATTTGTATTGTGAGCCGCCCGGAGTCCTTCGGGATTGGGCGGCATACAAATGTTATTAAACTTTGAAACTTTTCTATTTCTTTTTGTTGATTATTTTTTCACACTTTTGCCTGTCTTTCTTTCCTTTGCTTCTTTCCCTCTCTATTGGCTTGCGTTCATTTTTATGTTCTTTCTAAAACTTTTAATAAATATATTAAGAAAATGAAAGCAGAGTGGTAGAAGAATGAACTGCTCTACAGTTCTGTGTTGAAACCCAAGAGTCATGGAAGGTTTAAGGGATTTCTAGCATAAAAATGCATGGTACCTTGTTCTGGGGCACAGGAATGGGAAGATGATGTTTCTCAGTGTTCTTTAGCTTCGGATACAGCTGTTGTGTGAAATCTCCCAGCAGTTCTCTCAGCACCTGGGATACATGATGCAACTGCATCCTTGGCATTTTGGAAATGGCGATACGCTCCTTCTCTTCCAGCAACACCTTCTGCAGCTTCCCATAGAAGACACTGGAGGTTGCCATGTTTTCATAGAGGTAAAGTAAAGTATCCCAGGTAACAAATTCCTTCAACTGTATACCTTGCTCGAAAAACAGCTTCACAAACTCTGGCTTGTTTGCTATGAGGGCAGCTGCCATCATTGGATGTAGATCAAAAGGCTGTTAAGCCAGGAAAACAACCAGAATGAGACAATATCAACACAAGTAAAATTGCTCTCCCCGTTATAGGGAGAAAAGGGAAAGGAATACAAAGAGAAGTGCAAAGGAAGGGAGGATGCATGCATGACTCAGGGCAGCATCTGATAATGGCAGCTATAAGTCAATCCCTGCAGCAGAGAAAGCAAAAAGAAAAAAAAAGATAAGAGGATGGAATTGGCCACCCAATATCCAGCTATTCTCATTACCATTTAGCCCACATTTACTTCTCATCCACATGCATTCATATACAAGCTGTACTGGTGCTGACAGAGCATAGTATTTTTGTATACAGCAAAAATACTCTCTTAAAAGTTTTTTGTTTGATGTACAAACATAAAGGCCAAGACAACATCTAAGGACAATGTCTATAACATCAGCAACTGTGTCCTATTCCAAGAAGTAACTAATTATAGACAATTATACATTACACAAGTACTAAATGTGCATTACGTTAGTACTAAGACTGGAAAAGAAATGTTCGGTAAATAACTTGGTAAATCGGTGGTATAAGGGGATTGTATCTATATATGATGCTAAACTAAGGCTGATTTTCCTATGGCTTGTTTAAAACATTGTAATCAGAGTCTTGCCAATGAGCCAATTGACTTTAGGTTGCTACATCAATTTCTGGTTTGTTTCTTCCTCACAGTATCTAGAAGGGGGGGGGAGAATAAACCAAAATTGTGGATTCAAATAGAACAAACCATGATATTATAAATCAGAATTCATTGACCAGAAGCAAGCCATAAGTTCAAATTAGCCTTATTTCACAAATTCCCCTCTCACCAAACAAATTTTAGCTTAATATTACCGTATTTTTCAGAATATAAGACACACCTTTTTTCCTCAAAAAGGGGCTGAAAATCTGGGTGCATCTTCTACATCGAATATAGCATTTTTTTGCTTCCCAAAGCCCCGTCTCCTTCACCAAAATGGCTGTGCATATCCTTACAGAGGCTTTCAGAGAGCTCCTGGCGGCTGGGGAGGGCAGAAATGAGCAAAAAAGGGGGTGGTTTTTGCCCCCCACCCCCACCCCAGCAGCACTCTATAAGCCTCCATAAGGCTATGCATGCATTATTTTTGCCAAAAATGGGCCTATTTTTGCAAAAAATGGGCCGTTTTTTGCTCTTTTTTGGCCTCCCCAGGAGCACTCTGCAATCCCCCCCAAGTCTATTCATGCCTTTTTAAAAAAAACTAGACCCGTTTTCGCAAAAAATGGGCCATTTTGGGGAGGTCTGCAAAGTGCCAAAACTCCCCCCCTTTCGGAAAGCTCTTTACTTAGAGTGATTGATGAGAATTAGATTGCTCAAGTGCTGTGCCAGCAGAAACAAGTCTTAGGTGCTGCAGGTTGTCAGTGATTTCCTTCTCCAGCACATGGATAAATACACCTGGAAACATCTACCTACCTACATACTCACTCTCTCTCCCTACCTATCTACTGTATTTCTCTTTCTCTCTCTCCCTCTATCCACCTACCTACCTACTCCCTCTCTCTCCTTACCTACCTACTGTATTTCTCTCTTTCTCTCTCTCCCCCCATCTACCTACCTACCTACTCCCTCTCTCTCACCTATCTACTGTATTTCTCTCTTTCTCTCTCTCCCATCTACCTACCTACCTACCCTCTCTCTCTCCCTACCTATCTACTGTATTTCTCTCTCTCTTTCTATTTCTTTCTCTCTATCCCTCTACCTACCTACCTACCTACCTACCTACCTACTTACATGCACTCTCTCCCTCCCCCATCCCTCCTGTATTTCTCTCTCTATTTCTCTCTCTCTACCCCTTCATCTACCTACCTACCTACCTACCTATCTAACTACCCTCTCCCTACCTACCTACTGTATTTCTCTCTCTTTCTCTCCCTCTCTATCCCTCTATCTACCTACCTACTTTTTTAAAAATTTGCCTCTTCAAAACCTTAGTGCGTCTTATACTCCGGTATGTCGTATACTCCGAAAAATATGGTATATATAAATTTGTCCATCAGGACGATATATTACAGATCATGGTCTGAGAAGCAAAGATACACAGAGTGATTGCAGTGCAAGGAAGGTCTCAATTGACAAGCTTGCTGTCAAACCAAGCTTGGTCCTCTAATATCATCCTGTAATTACATAGGTAGCAGAGGACATGCTCACTAATAGTATGACCTGACGTTTCCCCACCTTCCATTCATGATCTTCAGTGAAAATCTCACTCCTGGCAATATCCACTCGGTTCCATGCCACTGCAAGCTTCAGCTGGTAGTCCCAGTTTTCATGGCCAACGTGATCATGGGACCGTGAGGCTACAACAGAAGGAAAATCAAGAAAAGGTTTGGATTGCAGCACAGTGTTATTTACTGGATTGTTGCCAGGCTCCAAAAACCAGGGCATGTTTTGATTCTTCCAAGCAGATTTCTTTTTGTTCCACTCCTATAGTCATATACTTGACAAACTAAACTACCATCGATGTACAGTAGGGATGTCAAAATCAAGACCCGGGCGCCCGGATCTGCCCTGTGGGGTGATTAGATCTGGCCCGCAGAGCTTCCCTGGAAACAGCAAAGGACTGGTCCACAGTGACTCTGCCAGCGAAAACAGAGTTCGGGAAGGGTTGCAGGAGACCATCACAGCTGAAAACAGAGCTCGGGAGCCTGTTTTCACTGGCAGAGCACTTGGGCCACCACAGGCACCGCCAACGCAAGTGACATCGAGCTGGCCATGCCCATCCCGGCCCCTCAAGGTCAAACACAACCCTGATGTAGTCTTCAATGATATTGAGTTTGAAACCCCTGATGTAAAAGCATATATTCTGGGAACTATTGGGGAGGAGCTATCTTCACCTTATTTCTCTTACACAAACTGTCTGAGCTGAGTCTTGCTCCTTCCTCCCTCCTGGGAATGCAAACTACATTCCATCACTTCTATTTACATAATTCAAGAATTCAGCAGGAAACTTTAGGAAAATAGAAATATTTGTCTCGCAATACAGATGTGCTCCAGGATCAGGCTTCTCCTCCGGGCAATGGTTCTGGAAATTTATCTCATATGTACAATACCTAATACTGATTTCCAAAAGTTTGTTCCAGGCAGAAAAAAACTTTCTACCATAAATGTATATCTAATGCTGCTATTAAGAAAGCATGTGTTCATGCTAATGTATTTTTAATTATACATTTTGTACAATCAAATAAATGAGGATTTTACAATTTTGTTCTGAAAAAGTTGCTAATCGAATCTCTATTAGCCATGAGAATAAGGAGTAGGGTTAGGCAACCTGGCATATTCTAATAACTCGATTTCCAGATAATAGTCCAAACAATGTATTTGTAAAATCCCAGACTGCCTATTACAGTTAACAAGCTACCAAACAAATAAAACATTTAGGCATTTCTGCTAAATCGCCTTTTAGTTTTCTAGGTTTTATTATTCAACCTCTATTTGCAATGTCACCACTTAAGAGTGTGATATTGTGCAACAGTTTTACCACTGCTTATGGTAATAGGCAGGATTATGGGCCATTTTATCCTGCTTCCATAGAATTGAAAAAGAGCATTTAGGCCAATAAGTCCAACTCTCTCTTCAAAATGAACCCAGGTTATGTAACTTAATTTAATAATTGCTGCTTTCACCTTTGAGCATTGCTTGCAAAATGGCCACATCAATATCTTGCTGTCCATCCTTGCCTTCTCGGAAGATGGTCAGGAGCTGCTTGTTTCGTACAATATCCTGGATCTGAAAAGAAAAAAATAATATACAATTCTAATAAACTGATCTGTCACAATTTTATTTAATGCAAGAAATAATTTTCAACTTTTTCACCTTTATATTTTCAAATAAGAATAATCATCCTTGTTTTTCTTTTTGAACCCTGAAACTGATTCTCTGTTCTTCCTAACACATAATGAAAGCCTCTTCTGGACTGAAGAAATAGGAATACTTTCATACTTGTTAATTCAAGTATTGAAACACTTCATATACATACATAAAAGTGAAAAAAGTCACAATTTCTGTTCATAGGAGACTAGTGTATCCTGAGCACACAAGGCTGACAGAAGACCAGTTACCTAAAGCTACCAATAAGTGTGTAGATAAGGTAAGAGCCCGACAAGCTGAGTTTATGGTCAAAATGCCATGCTGGCTACATTTATCTATTTGGTGCCAACTCAAGACATTTGCTGCCAACTTGAGCTGTGCCAACTTAAGATATTTGAATCAGACCTCATATTTGCCTCCCATGAAAGGAAGCCCATATTCCTGCAGCAGTAATTGCCTGGAGTCTGCTCTGTTAGGAAACAATGGAAGAGGTTGAAGAAAAGCAGAGACTGACACAGAAGGGGAAAGAGCTATCCATTCTCACTCGCTTTTTCCAGCACTCACTTTTCCATCTTTCTTTCTCCTATTAGACAGGCTGCATGTAGAAACCTTATCTAAGACCTACATCAATGCAGGCTTCAATTACTGCCTTCTTCTATCCTACTTCCACAGTGCCACCATATGAAAGGGCTCTTTTGTCAAATACATCAATTAGGATCAATGCTATTTCATTTCTGATCAAATACAGTAATAATAATATAGTAAGCTTTCCCTCAGGAATCATGGAAAGGTAACAGCCATCTTGAAAGCGTCCATAAAGGGGTGTGTGAGCTATGTATTCCCAATTTATATCCTCTATATCATGCAAATATAAATAAGTGGTTCACGAGTTCCTTATGATACAATATCACCAAAATTTGAATAATGATTGGGATGGTCAAACTTACCTTTTTAGTCCATTCCACAATCTTGTTCTCTGTGAACAATTCATAGCTGTCCTTGAAAAATATACTCAATTTTTTCTGAATTAGGCAAATACTTATTTCATGACTGGGGAGATTAGACACTTGAGCAATGACATCAGCTACTCTACCAGAGCCTTCCACAATCACACATGGTGTGCCATTGTTGATTGCATTATAGATTGTCTGCAGAAAAAATAATTGGAGTAAGTCAGCATTTGAGGCCACGTAATTTCATATTGCCATTGAATTAAGTGGCAGTACCAATGTCAATACGCTTCTGGATGACCTAGAGTTTTTGCTGTTTTCATTATCTGCAGCTTATTTAAATTAGTGAAAAAGAAAACTCTCCCAACCCATGTAGATTTCAGTGGAAGGTAAAAATATTTTTATAAAGCTGCAGCCACCAGCAAGCCTGTACACTATAGATTTATCAGGAATAAATTTTCAAGGTTAACTTAATTAATTAATTGTTTTGTTTGGACAACATTTTGATTACAGCTAAGTATCAATAATGGAATGCTTGGTAATATTTATCAATTTTAGAAAAATATTGGTCCAAATACTCTATGATATTATTAATAGTTCAATGTGGACTAGAAGGCACTATAATTACTGTATGTAGATACATTCAGTAACTGGGTCAAAAAACTTATTTCAAGAATTATAATTAATTAGTTAATGGTTTCTCATCTAACTGGAAGGAGGTGACGATTGAAGAGTTATAATCTATTCTTCAACATTTTAAATTTGGATAAAGATTTGCAGATGAGTCAAACTGGGTGGAATAGCTAGAAAACAAATAATGTTTGAAATGATTGTGTTGACTGTAATTCAGAAATGGGATGAAAATAGCAGGATGAAATTTAATGAAACAAGTTTTTCTACTAACTAATCAAAAAATCAAATGCATAAATATATATAGATAATAATACTTGTGAAAGACTTCTGGCAATAGTAATGTGGCTGCAAAAAGGGCAAATTCAACTTTAAAGTACTTCAGTCAACATAGAGGTTTCAAATTATGGGAAATAATAGTTAGCAAATAATTCCTATGAGGAGAACCTGAAGGAATGGGGCATGCTTAGCTTTGAAGAGAAGATAAGGGTTGAAATTTGACCATTTTCTTCAAATCCACAAATGAATATTACATAAAAGACATTAAATTATAGGAAAACACATTTTAATGTAATGTTATGTTAAAATTTACTCTCTCTAACAAAGTTGAACTAATGTTAAAAGAGATGGTGGGCATTCGTTGTTGGATATGTTCATATGGAGGCAAGGCAAAGACAACTGCCTAGAATATTTTAATTAGGATTTATATTCAGTTCAGGGTCATAGGTTGAGTGGCTAAATGACCCTCCTTCTGCTCTATGATTCTATAATCATCAATATTAGCATGACTGGCTTGTCATTTTTCCCTTGTCTACAATTATTCCTCTTGTCTTTTTAGCTCATTGAGAAACTCAACAGGATCTTAACTTGCTTTCATTTCTCTTGAGCAACTATCATCATTCAACCTTATACTACAAAAAGACTCCTAACTATCCTTCTCTTAGAATCTTCTCCCTGTGATACACTTTCTTAGGAAGTAGCAAGAACTCCTAACACCCCTATTGCCTTCATAACCACCCAGTTACCCTGACAGCCTACAGAGTACTTACATCAAGAGTCCCAGGTCCACCCTCCAGCACTACACAAACAATAGGTATTTTAATGGCAACTCCTGTGGAAAAAGAAAATAAAAGGCTCAGTCAATTGTCCATGTATATGGGTGTCTTCCTCCTATCCCGGTATTCATTTCAGCTGGATATTGTGATGCACACAGATATTGATCCAGATTGGCAATTATGAAACTAATTAGTGACAAGATTCTAAAAAAATAGATTAGAAAACAATAACACGCTAGTTATTTTATAGCAATACCATAAAAATAAACCCACTCAGGTTACTGAGAGTTGTAGCTCTCTAGTCTGTCTCTAGTAGTCAGTCCCTTTATTTTTTTAGAAAAAAAAAAGCATAAATAGTAAGTAGATGAACATTTAAAACAGAAACCCAACTTATTTTATAAAATTGACAAATTGTTTGGTTTGGTTTGGTTTGGTTTTATTATTTATAGGCCGCTCTTTTCCCTGAGGGGACTCAGGGCGGCTTACAATATATAGGGAGGGGAGTACAAGACAGTAAGACATAAAACAATACATAAGTAAAAATAGTACACAACATTCATCATTTGGGTGGGGACAGATTACGATCTTTATCCCCAGGCCTGACGGGATAGCCAAGTCTTGAGGGCTGTGCAGAAGGTCTGGAGGGTGGTGAGGGTACGAATCTCCACGGGGAGATCGTTCCAAAGGGTCGGAGCTACTACTGAAAAGGCTCTCCTCCGTGTAGTTGCCAGTCGACACTGACTGGAGGATGGAACTCGGAGGAGGCCTAATCTGTGCGAATTGTTTATTATTGATCCTTTTTTCATTTAATTACATTTCCGTAGCTATAAAGTTCCTAATAATTTGGCATCAGAATTAGTGAGTCTTCTCCAGATTGTGAAACTAAATGGAAGAACTTACATATTACAAGAGACACAGTATGAAGATATTATAATCTACATCTCCAATAGCAGTACAGATAGTTCTTGACTTACAATCATTCACTTATTGACCAGTCAAAGTTCCAGCAGCAGTGAAAAATTTGACTTGCAACCAGTTTTTACACTTATGATTGTGACAGCATCCTTACAGTCACGTAATCAAAATTTGGGGAATTGGCAACCAGCATATATTTACAACAGTTGCAGCATCCTGAGTCATGAGATAGTCATTTGCAACTATCTCAACCAGCTTTCAACAAGCAAAGTGGGGAAGCCAGATCACTTAATGACCATGTGATTCACTTAACAACTGCAATGATTCTCTTAACAATCATACCATAAGAAGTTCTAACAACTGCCTTGATTAGCAATGAAAATTCTGGTCTCAGTTGTGGTAATAAGTCAAGGATTGTCTGTACTGTCCTAATTATACCCTATACATTCCCAGCTTGATATCCTGCAGATGTGTTAAATTTTATTTATTAAAGAAATTTAGTTATTCATCCTAGGATTCCAGATTTTTTTAGTACATACTGTAAATTTCTTATTTGAAATCAGCAAGATTTAATTGGAGAATTCATCACTAGGAGTTGATCCAGACGCCTGATCAGCAATACAGTCTATGCAAAAATATTTTAATGTTCTTGGTGTATAACATTTTTACCAGCAACAAGCTGCCATTACCTTCTTTCACCTTGGTTTGCTCTGAAATGTATTTCTCAAGTTTGGTCCTCAAAGGGATCTCCACCCCATATTTCCCATGTGTTCCATCATCCACCAGAATGAAGTGTGAATGATTGCTGTCCAGGCAAGAAAGGCTTCCTTGAGTTTCCTCATCCAAAATATATTCTGCAGGGAAGCTACCCTAAAAATAAACAGGTTGGAAGAAATACGACACAAATTTATATATTTATTTAGCATATTTATATGCTATTTATTTAGCACATCTTCCAGCAGTAAAAAGCGGGGTTATACCATTCCCACCTCCTACTTTTTCCCACAATCGCCCTGTTTTTCTTTACTGAGAATGAATGGCTGACCTAAAGATAGCCAGAAAGTATCAATGGCTGATGACAACCTGACATCAAGGTTTTCCTGATGCCAACCTAACACTTTACTTGCCACACCAGCTGTCTCTCTTATCTGGGGCTCTATATTTGCTTGAGTTAGAATTTCCATACAGACATTTTCATTCAAATAACTCAGAAAAGCAAAACCTTGTTCCTTATTTATTTATATAAGCTACATCTTGCACTTTACACAAATTCTGTGCAGCTTATATAGAGTAAAATCTGAGATTTTTTTAAAGTATAACTCTAACTCAGAATCACAAATATAAATCAAATATTTAAAACATAATGATTGCAAGGGAATTAAAAGTTGACCGGAAACTGTAATTATTTAGTCTCCAAAGATTCGTTGAAAAAATAAAGGCTTGGTAGCTTTCCCAAATGATAGTATTGAAGGGAATATTCAAATCTCTGGAGATTGAATGTTTCAAAAGAAGAGGATCAATACTGAAAAGACTTACTTCTGGGCTCTTGTTCCTGTCATCTCCTGAGAAAGGAGATCTAGAGCATTTCTTCTTGGGATTAAAAAACAGGAGAGAGATTCCATTTGGAAGAGGTAGGTAGGTAACTCCACCATAGGATTTGATAGATGATCACTAGCTGTTTAAATTATATTAGGAATGTACTGGTAACCACAACACTGGCAGTATTGGTGTCATACTGTTGAGGTGGCTGTCACCTACCAGTATGTTGGCTGGTGTATTTTATACCTATTGCAGATTCCAAGAAATCTTCAAAAGCAGCCCTAAATTTGTAGTAATCCAGTCCTTTGTAGTAATCCAGTCCTGATTGCCAGGAGTTACTGTCATCAAACTTTCCTACCTCATAGGATCTAACTAAGGAAGGAATGGAACAATAGTGCAGGTGATCCCAGAAGAAGAGCATGGTAAAAGATTATCAAATAGTATTGAGAGATTGGAAGTCATCCACAAGACTGCCCGATGCAGTTTTGATTTTGTGCCTGAACCTTGACTGAAGGAAATCAACCTAATCATCTTTATCTACAATATTGAAGGAGAAGGGATAGAATCAGACTAGAATCCCTATTTAGTTACAAGAGAACTAAGTCCAAACCCCCGTGAGTTCCATTGGCCCTTATGTAATTCCAAGCAAGTGCTGTTAGTTGACAAGATTCTTGTACATAGGCTTTTAGCAATAAATCAATTTAATTGAACCTTCACGGTGTTTCATGCCTGACAGATCCTTTGTATCTCTTGTCCAACGATCTTCTATAACAGCTTCTTTAACATATGGAAATTGTCTAACACTGCTGAATCAAGAGATACCCTCTTTAGGCAAGGGAACATCACCCCATTAAAAGTGAATACTATTTCTTCCATAAACGTTCATATCATCTCTATACATATGAAGAAATTAGGTGAAGAATAGATCCAGCCTGCAGATAATCAAATTCATAATAAATGAAATGCTAAGAATCACAATAGTATTTTTTCCAATTTGTTTCATAGCTCTTACTTTTTGCCTTCTGGAATAGAATGCTTTTTATCAAGACTAAAAATAAAAATGCCATCCAACTCTATAAGGTTCTCTTCCTATATGTGATAGGACACAGTAAGTAAAACTATTATAGTGCTTACTGAGCTACACCCAAATAGATAATGTTCCTAGGTACCAAAGATATAGAAACCCAGAGCCTAGCATTGTTTGTATCTCACCATTGTCTTTCTTCACATCCTTAATAGTATAAAGAAATACAAAGTTGTACAAGAGATACTGTACTGCATGTATTATCTCATCTCAATCTACTTACAAGACCCTTTTCTTCAAGATAAATTCATATGGAGTTGTACTATGAATTAATTCTTCTAATAGCATGGTCTGAAAACCCTTTTGGCTCACCGTGCGGCAGATGAGGCTATTACGGTTGTGTACTGTCCCCCAAGATGCAATGCCAATAGCGACAATCTCGCCTTTATAGGTGCTGCTCATAATAAAATCCTGGAGTGCTTCCCCTACTTGCTTCATCACACCAGTGTGAGAACCACCTGTGATGATCCAGGCACCTGTAGAACAAAGATCCCAACAACTAAGTGTATAAAACAGACAAGATGCTTTATTTCTCTATTTTTTTTCTCTGGACCATGAGAAAATATTTTATTTATTTTTAAAGCAGAATCTGTGCCAAAGTTGTTTTAGGTTAGGTCAGCAATTTTCGACCCTCCGCTGTGCATTTTTTTAAAAAAATCTAAACTTAGCTTCCGATTTCCACTTTAATTAATGTTGTATTTTGTGTGCTTTTAACTATTGTAGATTGCTTTGGGATCCTATCTGGGCTGAAAGCTACAATAGTTTAGATAAGGACATAAAACTTCACCATACACTATTAGTTTTGGCCAGTGATTGCTTTACCTGTTGTTTGTACTACTTTGGCAAGTCCCTGACGGAATATATTCTTCAGTCTCATCTTCATGCTGAAGTTTTTAGCTCCTCCTGTCACTGATATTAAGAGGTTGGGTATATCAAGCCCCCAGTACTGTGTAATCAACTGGTAAAGTGTTTTTGGAGAAGTGCTGGAAGAGACTCGCACATACTACAAAAAAGAAATAAAACATAGGAGGAATATATGAACATTTCAGATAGTGGTCACGACGCAATCATATCCAGAACCATCTAAGACCCAACGGAGCTATGTGGGATTTCTTATTCAAAATGACTTGAATCTTGTCAATCAATGCAATATTCCAAACAGATACTGCAGTGTATAAGGAATATTGATGCAATAGGAAACAATAGAGGGAATCTTCTGAAAACTTTCTAGAGAAATCTTGTCTGGTATCCCCATTAGAGGCAACTCTTCACTTTCTACTTTCCCATTTCTTTCAGCAGGTCTAAATGAGGATAAGATAGTTCATTCTAATGGGGTGGCAGGGAGTTTATAGAACATGCTATTTAAAGATACAATCAAGGATATTCTAGTTGGGATATGCAGTGTTCTACTGTAGATTTAAGGGAAAACAGCGAATTGGAAGAAGCATTGGTGTGGACATATATTTCAGTAATTCTTTAAAACAGGGTGTTCAACCTTGGCAACTTGACCTACTCAACTCCTAGAATTCTCCAGCCAGCATAAGCATGGCTGGGTGGGGAATTCTGGGAGTTGAAGTCTACAGCTATTAAAGTTGACAAGGTTGGACTCCCTTGCTTTAAAACAAAGGCATTCTTTCCTAGGATTGCACTGAAACTGCATGAATCTGGAACAAAATGGGTCTGCTTTAAGGCATTGTCAAGAATGCTATGCGAATGCTATGTGAATGCTATGAATCTGAAGCACTACATACCATAGCCCTAAATTATAGGTAATAAATCCAGAAATGATACAAGATATCTGTGGTTTGGTCTTATAACTTCAGAAAAGTTGATAAGTACATAAAGTTCAACAGTATATATAATTTCAGAAAACCAACTACAGGTAGTCCTCAACTTACAACAGTTCATTTAGTGACCATTCAAAGTTACAATGGCACTGAAAAAAGTGACTTATGACCATTTTTCACCCTTACAACCATTGCAAGTTCCCCATGGTCATGTGGTCAAAATTCAGACGCTTGGCAACCGAGTCATATTTATGACAGTTGCAGAGGTCCCTGGGATCATTTGATCACCTTTTGTAAACCTTTGACAAGCAAAGCCAATTGTAAAGCCAGATTCACTTAACAACCCTGTTATTGCAGTGACTCACTTAACAACTGTGCAGGAAAGGTCATAAAATGGGGCAAAAGTCACTTAACAAATGTCTTGCTTAGCAACAGAAATGTTGGGCTGAATTGTGGTCGTAGGGCAGGCCAAGGACTACCTTCCTTGAAGGTTCACTTTCAATCACCTGTTAACTTACTTTCCCAACTTTTTGCCCCAAGCCTGTAAAAGTAATGTCCCCAAAGGCATCTGTTGGCATTTCCTGGACATGTCTTCTGGCATCCCATTCCTTCCCTTGGAACATGACAGGTTTTATGGCTTCCTCTAAGTGCTCTTCCCTGAGATAACCACATTCACATGCCACTTTCCTGAACAAAAGCAAAAGTAACTTAAAAAATACATATTGAAAGTGCTATAGTGACATAAAACACACAAAAGAAACATGGAGATTAGAATAAAGGAGACTCCAATCACTAAAATAAACTTGAGCTGAATCCACTGCTGCATATAATACTGTGTTTATGTTGAATATAGTTATACAAGCACTCTATTCCCACATGACAAATACAGATCTTGACAAACACGACATATTTTGAGGTGTGCTAACAGTTGCAATATTTGCAAGCAGAATCAGCACAAAATGGATCGTTCAAATTGTATATGAACAATTATTTTGAAATATCCGATGTGCTATAACCATTTTAATTAGATAGCAAGAATAAAGTAGCAAGTGGTAAGGTGGTTCGGAATTCTGCAAGATGCCATTCAAAACATCAGATTATTGAAGATTAATTACTGGAGTTCTCTAAATTCCCAATCATTACAAAAGTAAACATCAGCACTGCTCAATATGCCTATACTAGGTTTATTTACTTGCATTTCAAGTGTTATTTGAATATTTTAGGCATATCAATTTTATTTGTTTATACACATTAGAGCCTCCTTTCTCACTTTTAAAAATAATACTAGATGATTTTTCTAAAATATTCCAGTGCTCCTTAGCCTTTTAATCATTTCCATTTGATTGAAAATAGTTTAGCATAATCCTTCATCATGTTTTTCCCTGAAATTAAATTCATAAACATAATTCCTTTGTAAAAAGAAGCAATAAGCTTTTCTGTCAACATCTAAAATATTAAAAAGCTGCCTCCAATTATGTGTTTTGTGGTAATTTTCCCCTGGATGAAATATTGTTGGGATTGTCTGTAGTATTACAGCTTTCTAAGATAAAATGTTCCAACATTCCAGCCTTTACTCAGTCTAAACCTCCCTGATAATTCTGGTTGTCTTCCTGGTGATAAAGTTAATCAGAGTACTTTTCTTACCCAGAATCTGACAACTGTGAACTTTCAATAAAATAAACACATTCTTTTTTTTGAATGTTTTCAGGGATCCAGAAACGGAGATCTTCCTGTGGAAAGAACAGGGAGCAAAAGATCAGTTCTTACTTAGAAAGCATAAAATCATTTCTTTCCCAGAGCAAAATCATATTCTATGCATAAAACATTAGGGTTTTTGTGCTGCTTTTTGAGGAAAAACAATTTCAATATTACATGTGGTCAATTATTTGTTAAAAAATTAATGATTATCACATCTAAGGAGAGTAACAAGCATACAAGGTATAAACTTTATATGGCTAAGTACAATATCATTTTATACTCTAGGGGCAACAACAAATTTGAATGTCTCCCCTATTTTCTTTTTCTTTCCCATCCTTTTCTGATCTAAGTTTATAATTTCTAACCCATAGTAGGTCAGCCCTAAAACAAACCTCATCTAGCTCTTCCTTTTTCTTAAACTTGCCTTTTCATTTATGCTGGGAGAGAAGTGAGCCCTGCGCTTGCTTCTACTGGAAGGACTGGTGCTTCTTCTGAAGTTGGAAACCAGAGTGATATCATGGTAGCTCTCAAGGTCAAGAGGGTAGCCTTCATCATGGTGGATCTTGTTCAGCTCCATTGGTATTCGCAGACCAGGCCCAGCCATGGCTACATTTGTTAGATCAATCATCAAAGTTGTTCAAGTACATTTGGAAGACAAATTCTTGAAACTACCATTTCAGACTTCATGGACTGCAAATGCTGTATTCTGCCTAGATTTCATAAAACACCAAAAAGACACGTTTTTCTTTTTTTTCTTTTTTTAAAGTCCCCCTGATTGAAGCCTCTCACAAAGACCTTATCTTTTTACTTGAGAATTTGGGATGTATTTGCTATATTTTTTGTGTTAAGAGAATACTGTTTTTTAATGTTCTGTCAGGTCAACCTTGACCCCTAGTGATTATATGGATAAATCTGCAGTTTTGGCCATATTTGTGGAAGTAGTTTGCCAGCACCTTCTTGCAAGAGTACAGGACACATGCATGGCTTCTTTGCCCAATGGTGAACTACCACTTACAGACTCCTGGATTCTAATTCTTAACCATTAGATCAAACTGACTCTGCTATAGAAAACTACAATAGCAATAGCACTTAGACTTATTGTATATACCACTTCACAGTGCTTTACAGCCCTCTCTCAGACATTTTTACAGAATCAGCATATTGCCCCCAACAATCTGGGTGCTCATTTTACCAACCTCAGAAGGTTGGAAGGCTGAGTCAATCTTGAACATGATGAGATTCGAACTGCCAAATTGCAGTCAGCTGGTAGTCAGCAAAAATAGCCTGCAGTACTGCATTCTAGCCACTGTGCCACCACGACTCTATATAACAACAATATATATGTCACTAATACTGTTTGTATTTAGATTGAATGGGTAGTCAGTGACTATAAGACCAGAAAAAGTCATAGTGTCATAAAAGTACAATAATTACTAGCTTCAAAGTCATCGTGTGTGTGTTTTAAAAATAGATGATTAATTTGTGGAAGAAAAGAAAAAAGTTGAAACTGAAGCTACATATTCATTAGCATACTAATAAATGACCCAGTGATGGTACTAACGCAACTATTTTATATGACCTCATTCTACTCTACAGTATATTCTTATCTAGCTGATCAGTGTGAATAAACTGCCAAATTACACCAAAAAGATTGCCATGTAGTTTCAGGAAATATATTAATGATTGTTAATGTTCTGATTAGGAAAGCCTGTCAACTTGAAAAGCTACTCCAAATATTTGGGGTACATAAATACTGTATGTTTTGAAACCACTTTGAGCTACAGGAATAAATATCCTCTGCTTAAGCCATTAGAAGAAAAGAATTCATTGAACACCTTATATTTCTCAAGATCTTTTTTAGATAGAATGTATTTGGCACCCTTATTTATCAGAAAACTAAACATCATATCAATTTTTTATTACAATCATAGACTAGCATAAAGTAAGTATAATTTTAAGGTTGTCCTCATGTTTCATTAAGCATTATGCTCAATTTTTTATTACGTTCCCCTACTACTTAAATTCATTCAATACAATCAGGAGAGTAAGCATGTGGATATTTAAATGATTGACATATGCAATATACCAATTGTGCCTAGCCTCTTTCTGAAAGCTTCTTTTTAAAAGGATATCTTCATATAGTAGATAGGGCTGTCATTAGTTCCTTGAAATGGAAAACCCAGGTAGATATCCAAAGGTAGTTGCATAATGGCAATAAACTTAGAAAAGTAACTCATACACTGTAATCCATGAAGAAAATAGAAACACATGTTTATTTCCAATGACTGCAGCAAGTCACAATGATGCCAAAATGAAGCAGGTGCTTGAAGCAGCACTCAAGGGGGATGTCATTATATAAAACCCACTATTATATATTTACATTCCAACATCTTGTGCAAATATTGATGCCAAGATGTCTGTGTGATAACATCATCCCTCTTCTCTTTGCAGATGTCCATGCTTGTTTCAAATCCAGAAGTAGTTCATTTGTAACTTCAGTAAAATACCTCTTTCTTCAACATTGATCAACTAAACCTCTTTTAGAATGGATTCAATAGACATGGATTTTATAGAAGATAAAAACACTTTCAGTACAATTAAAAAAATCTTAACAGTTGGTGCTAAAACGCTATTGCAAGTAGTTACTAAATATAATATTTCACTTCAAAAATATATTCCATCAAGAAATACATCCCCCTCCCTGCAGGGAATGACTATTAAGCAGGTGTCAGAGAAACAGCATTTAAAAATTAGCATAGCAACATGTCAAACACCAGTCAAAATAATATGCAACTTTGAAATATTACTCCATAGTAATAGGCCATTCACTCCAATATTGTTTGTTCTCATTGGCAATGATCTACAATAGCAGAGCACAACCTTTGCTCAGACAAAACACCCTTGGTTTTTGAGTTGGGTAATAGTCAGTAAAAGATAGGAACATTCCAAAAGTGAAATTTGATTAAATGAAATACAAGCTGTGCTTAATTGCATAGTCAGCCATTGTTTAGACTTAGCATTTTTTTAAATCTACAAGGATTTGGGATGCTTGATGGTGTTAAAGGAAATTGTCAGAGGATGTAAGTTGTTTCAAGTAAATCAGCCTTTTTCAATTAATTGATGGTGATTTTGTCAATGCCATTGGTGTTCAAGTGGTGCTCCAGTTGTTTTGGGATGTTAGCAAAAGGATCTATTCTTTACCACATGCATTCTATTTGCAGGTCTATATATTTTCTGATTTTCTCCAGTTCTTCCTCTTCTAACCAATTCTGTTGTATTTAAGTACAATGACAATAAAGATTATACTTATTCTATTTGGTTGTCTTCAGGTACTGCAGGTCCACTATGCAGATGCAGACTTTTTTTTCCATTCAATTATTAAGTCTGAGGTTTTGTGTGGCAAATTTTTGTCCATCTGAATTCTGAAGGCCCCCAGCACACTAACTTCTTCATCTTCTATTATTTTGTCTATTTTGTGGTCCTAACAATTCTTGCTTGTAGGCAAAGGGTATTTCTTATCATATTTCACCATTGTTGCTACTTTATCATGCCATTGTTTGTAGTCAACCTGGGTGGTCGTCTTGCAGTAGCTAAGGAGGTGGTCCACTGTTTTTTCAACTTCTTGGCAGAGCCAGTGTTTGTTGTCTATTGCTGCCTTCCCATCAATTCTGGCTTTGTTTTTAAGGCTTGGCCTTATGGAGCTAGAATTAGCCCTCCCTCCCAGTCCTTTTTCTGCTCTTAGTCATTTCCAGGTCTTATTAAGCGCTTTGCCTGTGGGTTTTTTTAATGTACTGGCCATGTAATTCTTTGCCTTGCTATGTCTCTTTCCTATTCTTCATTTAATCTTTTTTTTTTGTAGGACAGTTTATTATTGTTGCTGTTTAAATTTACTGATCACTCACCTCCAGTGGATTTGGGCTGCCATACACAACTAGCAGAAACATTAAACAGCTAAATACAATGACTGTGATTATTGTAAAGGGTGGACAAATTAAAGTTGTGCTCTCTTCCTGGAAATGTTTCAGGATAGGGTAGATAAGAATCATCTTAAGAGTCCCAGTAAAGGGAACAACAGAGGAGCATATAGGTCAGAGACTTTACCGAACCATTCCCAACAAGCATACATGCTGGTGCACTGAAGTACTCTTATAGGGTCCAAAGAGGATTTATGAGGCAAGTGAGACTTGTTTGACTACGGTACAAGGTCTACAAAATTTTGACACTGTAATAGGTAATAAATAGGAGGCTGGCATAAACTATTTTGGAAAAACCTTTCAAATTATAGGACTATTATACACCTCTAAACAATTATACTACATGCCCTTCAGTTGTGAACCCTGCCCTATAGGCTCTTCAATAGGGGTTTTTGACAACCTGGATACCTTAAATCATTTAAAATAAATCTTTTAGGAATGTTGTGACTTTAGGTACTGTATGAACATATAAAAGGCAAATTTCCTTCATATTCAGCTCAACTTCTGGTACCTTAATGGACATACTTATGCTGTTGTCTTAGTAGAAGATGAGCATGGCTTTTCAAAGTTTACTTCTATTTTTTTTAAAAAATCCCAATCTAATCTACTGCTGGTTTTACATTCTTTTGAATTCTTCATCCAAATATTAAATAAGGTTGACTCTGCTTAGTTTCTGGACCCAGAGAAGGTCAACCATGTGCTGGAATGTAGTCTGGATTCCCAGGAGGGAGTGGCTGCTTTCCAGAGAGCAAAAAGGCAGTGGAACTCAGTTACCAGAAAGAGGGTTAAAAAGGCTCCCTCCTTATTTTTCCCAGAGTATATCTGTAGTTATGCTATTAGTTGCTTTAATCCGGCAAGATTCTGTCCATAGGTGAAGAACAATAAAAGAAATTACTCTGAAGTAGCTACATTTTTTTTCTTAATTCTTTGGCCCTGACAACCAGATGTTGCCACCTCTTTGGTCATAAACATGTGTGTACTCTTGTACTAATATAAATTTTCTTTTATGTATAATATTGTCAATACCCTGTAGCCAACTACATACTATCCACTGATTTATTTTCATTTGCATGGTTGTCTCAGTATTTATGCTAATTTATATTAATAAATGCCAAGTATTCAAGAATTTTGTAAAGTATTTCTGTAATCATGGCTGAGACATTGCAGTTTTCCCAGGGATATCTAGTTAAATTAATAACTTAAAACAATTGTTATAGTAATATTAACAATAGCTATGAAACTGGATTTTAGGACATAGAATTGGTCTTGCTTATGCTGCATCTTTTAAGAAGCTATAACATGGGACAATGTTATCAAAAGAAGCCAAATAGTGAATATATTTAACTATTTGTGCATTGCTGTGTATTGCTGTGCTTTGAACATGGATTATATTGTATGGTAACCCAGAAAAAGTTATGTGTGCCATTTTTGACTGAAATCAATGAAGCAGAAAGTGGACACTTCTGTTCCATGTTCCACTAACTACAGAGAAACGTTTATATACATTGTTTTCTTTAAAAAATACTTCAATAATTAATTTAATCTTAATTTTTGCTATCAGTTTGGTGAATCTTCTCTATATCATTAAATCATTTGCTTCAAGAATTAAGTTTCATTCAGCCTATAAGATAAAATATTCAAATTATAATATAAAAAAGAAAACACAGCATTAAGTGATGTTCAGGAACTAACATGTGCCCTTCAAATCAATACAAATGTTATGTACTAGAGTAGTTTAAGGTGTACCATTGGTTAAAATGACATAAAATGAAATTACCCAAATAGTTATCTGATTAGCTGGATGCTTGAAATATGTTAATACATAAATAAAGGGAAGAACATCAGACCAAGCAAGCTAACTAATTTATCAAGCCCATAGATACCAATGGTTCTCCAGGGTTACAGAAAAGATTATTTCCTTAATTTATTTAGATGCTAGGAATAAGGTCTGCACCCAAACAAACAAACAAAAATGTACCAAGCTACAGACCTATTATAAGATCCTGTAGTTATTCCAGAATGGCTTCGGGAAAATTTAGTTCAATGTCTCAGAAGCCAATCTGATTTTTTTTTGTCCTGGATATACCACAAATGAGCACCTTATGATCACAATGCAAATTCTCTTTAGACACAAGCTGCAAAACCATCACATTTAGGAATACATTATACTGAACGCAGAACACATCCACACATTTATGTACAACTTAAAAGGAGAAAATAAAGAGCACTATTGATTCCATACAAATGCATAACTCAATGCATGTGCTTATAGATCCATTTGCATATGCACATGCTCAGCAAGCTTTGCTTAAACCGTGACAAGGATTTCTTCTGACCTTGCAATGCAGAATTATCTCAGTATAGAAAGAATGCTTACTAAGCAATTTTGCACTGCCAGTTCAGCCTGGGTCAGAGTTATACTAGACTGGCTGAGACATACATTCCCAGGTTTTTTGATGCTTCAGGGTACTATCTTAGAATATGCAACAGAAAACAACCCAGATGGCTGTAAATATGTGTCCAACAGCATCCTTCCATTCCCAATTTTACTCACATATTCCTTGCCAGTCAGCTGTGAAGGACACATTTTTGTTTCATGCTGTAAACTCATCACCTTATTGCTGAATAATGCCAGGAGTCTACGGGAGCTTTTCTGAAGTGACTGCAGTTAAGAGGAGGAGGAGGAAGAGGCAGCAATCCAGAGGGCTGCACTTTGCCAGCAAATCACACTGCAGAAGCTGCTCCTAGTCATTCACAGAAGCCTGGGATGGATAGGTCAAGTGAATTGAGTTTCCTAGGCTAAATAGCAAATGACTCTTGTTTGCCTTGATTTATAGAGAAAGCAGATTATCCTTTTGTTCTTTGATTGAACATTACAAAAAAGGTGGCTAAATTCAAATAGCTTTAAGTTGTTCAAATGTAGCTTTTTTCAGAATGATTATAATAAAATTAAATTATGTCTTAAATATTTATAAAGATGCTCAGGAACAGATTTGCATGTAATATCTTCTGGGATAATATTTTTATCACATATTTGAATGCATTCTCAAAGCTTTCTCCCTTTTCAACTAATATTAAATTGGTATTTGATAAATTGCAAAAATAGACTAATAATCTACATAGGATGAATGTTTAGCTACTTCTGTATAAAAAGACAAACTAGTTTGGAAAATATGCAGGGAATGACTCAGGATAAAAAGCAGAAAGACAGATTGCTCCTTTAAGACTAAACTCTTAGCATTCCCAGCATTCCCCTCCCTCTCCATCCATTAGAGTGGACATAGATTGTTATATTTGTCAGATTGTTTGATCTTGTGATCTTAAAATTTGTTTGCCTAAACAAATATTAAAACTGTCATAACTGAAAAAAGATAGAATGTAACTCCCCTCCTCTCCCCCCCAGTATTTACAATATTTAATTAAAGTAGTCTTTTAATTTTTAAAACTATTTATTAATGATTCATTAAAAGGGAGGGATAAGAGTGACCAAGTTCTTTTAAGATCCAGATTGACATTACAACATTATGCATTAAGAATATGACGTTAAGAAACATCTATATGAATAACTACAATAGCATACACATTTTAACAATGTAATCTTTAAACAAATCAGTGACAAAATAGAATAAGGAATAGAATGAAAAATATTATTGCATTATTATCTTCTCTTCCTTCATGGTACTGTATTAATTTGGCAATCTGCATCTTGCGTAAAATGTGGAGGATACAATTACATGAATATTCTTGCTTTTGTGAAAAATGGAAACATAGAATATATCATATGAATATATACAGACTTTCAGAGGAGCCATGGCTATGTATAGGAAAATATGGCCAGCATTACACATAAATATTAAATACATTAAAGAGAGGCAAATATGCATTCATCCTATACATACATACTATAGGTGGTATATGTGTGTCACTTCTCCACTTAGTAGAATTTATAAATTTTCTGATAACTGAATGTTCTGGATTTCCAAACTTTCAGGATATTCACCAAAACCCTAACCTTTTACAAGCTCCAGTTTTGTTGTATTACATAGCACTACTTCTAATTTCCAAGTCTGGTTTGCTCATCAAAATATGGATTAGTTATTCTACCTGCTAACTTCACAAATACACAAGCATTTTGTGGTAGTGCAGTGGTTAGAATATAGTTCTGCAAACTAACTCACTGCTCACTCCAGGAGTTTGCTTCTCACTGGCTCAAGGTTGACTCAGCCTTCCATTCTTTCGAGATCAGTAAAATGAGGACACAGATTGTTGGAGGCAATATGATGACTCATATGTAAACTGCTTAGAGAGGGCTGTAAAGCAATGTAAGTGTAAGTGCTATTATTATTTTGAGTCTAGTATTCCTTTGTATTTCCTATCCATGTGCTCAATTCTATAAAACTTTGCCACAAAGGTTAACATATTAAGGTCAGGATGTAACTTGATATTTCACTTAATCAGCTGAAACTGTTTGGAAGACTTAGACTAAAAATTGCACACCTATACTGAATATTATCCACTGGTAAAAACTAATCTTTAATTTAACCTTAAAACTTAGAATAGGCAGATAATCCAAAGAATGAAATATAAACTAAAAGCTGCAAACAGGATTGAGTGCAACCTATCATTTTCCATTATTCCCACAAGCACCTTTTGGGCAAACAAGAGTCTGGCATGTTGACTTTCACTTTAAAGAATGGAGAGCTTTTCATCCTGATGGTGACAGAAAGCAAATCACCTCGCATTCTCAGCAAATTACTTGGAAGAATATTCTGGGGGGCTCTTCTACACATTGCATTGTTTTCAAGTAGTCCAATTTTCCTTTCATATTTTGACCTCATGGAACAACTGAGGAACAACTTTCCAAATAAAAACCATTTTTTGCTGAGTACACAAAGTAGCCCATCTTTGAAAAACAAGGTTCTTAAAGGCTGCCCTTTTGTCCAGAAAGCACTGGATCTAGCACTGTGGAGCAGTACATGTCCAAGTGCTAGTGCTATATGCTTTCGCCTCCAGTTTCCTAATAATCTTTGTTGCTCTTCTCTGCACTCTTTCTAGAGTCTCAACATGTGATAACCAAAACTAAACGTAGTATTCCAAACGTGCTTACCAGTGTAGTACGAATCTTGATACTGTTGATGCAATCTAGAACTTCATTGGCTTTTTTGGCAATTGCAGCTGGAGGACAGTCCTTGCTCATACTTAAGTGGTTGTTCACTAGGACCCCTTTCTCATAGTTACTGCAGCTGAGCCAGTTCAATTTCTTATCGGTTTCTTATCTATTCCTGTTGTAAGTGCAACCAGCTCCTGGCTCCTTTGGATTTTCTAGGGAGGTTTTACTACCTTTCACTTTTAAACTTTCACTGCTTGTCTCTGACTGATAAGACAAAGGAAAAGGAATTTGGGTAAAGATCCAGCAGCTAGTGAAGATCAATCCTGAGCTGTACAGCACATCTTGTTTCTTATTTTAATTCTAAAAACACAATTCTTGGCCTATGGACAAGCTATTCATGCTCTACTGCCTACCTCTCCGCACTCCCTATGCAAGTCCAGATCTTTCACCTTCTCTATTTTTCTCTCTTGACCTCCCAGAGAGCAACAACTGTATGTAGCCAACCTTCAGAGGGACCCATGTTTGTGACAGTGATGGGGTGCTCTTGGGGCCAGTGTTCTCTAGTATGTGTGGAAGTAAGGGAAGCAAGAAGAAAGGGGTAGAGACATGCAGCAGAGGAAGAAACTTCTTCCCTATACCCCACTTTCAAAGTTAAAAACATGAAAAAGGAAAGAGATTGGATTGTATAGTTTAGGAAAGCAAAAGGGAACAGGAAAACTATTTATCAATTTCTATCACTCCAATTTCTTCACAGCTAACAATGCATCCAAACAATCAAAAGGATGTCTCTATTCATAGATATTACCAGATGGGGCATATGTAAAATCAAACTGACTATATTATTGATAAAAGGGTGTGGAGCTCAATGATAGCATCAAAGACATGGCCAGGTGCTGATTGTGGAACAGATCAATAACTGCTGAGTTCAAGCTCCAAGTTAAGCTAAGAAGAATAAGAAAGCCAGTAAGTTTTCACTTACTGAACACATGCTCAAGGAGAACATCAAGACTCGCTTTGAAATTCTGAACCTCATTGACAGAGAATCAAAGGAATTATGGAAGGAACTTAAAGAATGAGTTAAAGATGAATATAAAAACACTGCCTAAAATGACAAAAGAGAAGAAAGCAAACTGGATGTCAGAACAAACCATTAAAATTGCCAAAAAGAGAAGTCAAAGCCAAGAAAGACAAAAATCTTAGGAACTTAACAAAGAGTTTCAAAGAACTAACAGAAGAGACAAGAACCAGTATTACAACATCTGTATAAAGACACTGAAAATAAAAATAAAGAAACATGGAAAAACAAGTCCAGTCTTTCAAAATATCTTTGAACTCAGGAGATTCCAACCTCAAATTCGTTTGCTAAAGGATGTCAGCTAACAGTAACTGCTTTAAAAGAGATCAAAGGAAGATGGAACTAGTATGTTGAAACACTATATAACAAATATATCAACATTTCTAAGTATCTAAGATACTTTACAAGATATTGTTTACTTACAAGAATCTCTAGTACTACAAGGTGGTGTTTGATCAGTACTCCGGTTATTACCAAGTCGGAAAGCAACAGGAATTGATGGAATAATTAGTTAAATATTGTAAGCAACAGAAGAAAAACCATGCAAGATTCTAATCAAGATAATCTGGCGAACAGTATAGTGGCCAATCAATTGGAAGAGGTCAATATACATTCCAATGGAAAAAAGGAGTCTCAGCAGGATGTGTAAACTATTGTACAATAGTCTTAATTTCACATGGTAGCAAAATAATGCTTACTATCAGACAACTAAGATTAGGGCCCTAGATGGAAGAAGAGATGACAGATGCTCAAGATGGCTTTAAAAAAGCCCAAAGAAGATAAGATTACTGGTGATGCATTCTGGTTAATTAAAAAAGCCAAATAATATTTAAAAAACCTCTGAGTATATTGTGAACAGCCAAGAAAACTGATTTGATCATTGAACAAATCAATCTAGAATTCTCACTTGAGGCACAAATGACCAATCTCAAATGATCCTACTCTGGACACATTTATGTTAAAGCTCAGCTCATTGGAAAAAGGCTCCAATGCTGGGAGAAATGTTCTTCTGGTTTCGGCTCCAAGTGAGGAAAAAGACACTGGAGACATGGAGGCTGCTTGGAAAGATGGTTTAATGGTGGA